AACTGTTTCCCAGCGTCACCCTGTTACGAGCTTACTCAATGGGGGTTTCCCTTCGGCTCCACAAGAGATCAGACCAAGAAGCGAGATCACCCAGACACCAGAACCTACTTTGATGGGACATAACCCTTCGGCCCTATAATGTGACATTAGAGATCACCTGTGAAGACAGTCCGATAGAGATGAAGATTTGTGTGATAGGGGATACCTTCCACACCCTGGAATTGGCCAAGCCATATAATGTTGATAATTGCTATATCATAACATAGCATTGTCAATTTAATATTATTTACTTAATACCAAGAATACTCAAGGTTCAAGTTAAATCTGTTGATTAGGCCGGAGCCTAAAAACGAGTAGTCCAACCCATAGGTCGAGAGCTACTAAAAGTAATGAGTGCTATTGAATGAACTATAAGTCCAGTCAATTATATATAATATTATTGTTGATTAACCACATTGTGAATTAACCAATTATTTATTCAGAGAGATATATCTAAAGGAATTATAAGTCCTTTAAAAGACACTGATTAATCACAAGTTAACAACGTCTCGTGAAATAACCAGTTGGGTTTTCTATAAGTTTGAGGACACTAAGTCCAACAAGCTATTATTGTGTTGAGAGTAATAGAGATCTTTTGTAATATTTGTAGAGATTTGATTAATCACATTGTGAAATAATCAGATTAAATAATTATGTAGCTTTATAGAGAGGACTATAAGTCCTAATTGGTTGTTGTCATAAGTACTGATAAATTACACATTAAAGTGCCAGGTCAATTATTATATATAGGTATATAGGAAGGACAATAAGTCCTATTTGTGTATGTTGTAGTAGTAGAGGCAATATATTGCATAATTATAATGTGAAAGATATAGATTAAATATATATTTGTATAGAAAGGACAGTAAGTCCCATACAATTATTGTAGCTGTACTATAGTTATACTATATCTACTTCCTTTTAGTGTCTTAGTAAACCTATTTACTAAGAGGATTTCTCAGATAAACAAGTGTTTTAGTGTTTAAATCATCATGATTAAATCCCTAAGAAATTAGGTCTTTAAATAATTATCATATCATTTAAGTGAAATTTCTCATATAAATAATTCCAATATTTCCCCTACAGTTAATATAAAATAACAGAAAATTATATAAATTTTCTATAGACTTAGATATAGAATCATAACGTGTATAATCTCCTTTTGTTTGACATCTGTCACATTAATGACGTATTGAATGACGTATTGATGTATTGAATTGAATTTTGATTATCTATCACAACTGTCAACGTAACAAATACTAGCAAGTTTGTTTATTTGTATTTGTTTAATATAATTAAATATAAAATCATCATATATCAACCGTAATATACAACTACATTATCAGTGACATAAATAATCATGGTTTACACCAGAAATAATTAATAGTATCCAGTAATGCTGCAGTTTTATATTCATATCAGTAGCCAAGCTTACTTTCAAATTCAAGAATGAACAGAAGATTAGAAGTTTAACATTCTTATTGCAATTGTATTTGCAATAATATATACATACAGTACTAATTATCAAGAACATTCCTCAAATACATGTGTGGTGAAGATTTTCCCAATATGCTATCTATTTGATTCCTAACCTCTAATGTAAATTTATTAAAGAAGTGAATAATCAGTGTTAGTGTTTGCTTTATTAATATTTAAAGTAATTGTCCTAACTTGATATTAATAGGTTCATATCTCCTTGAATACAGTCCGACTTAAACATATAACTCAATAATTAAATTTATAAAATACTAATATTATATTTTACTACTTGTATATCTCCATACTATTCCCATAAAATATTCAAAACATGTATATTAAATATAAATCCAGTAAATATTCACTAATATTAACCCTGTCTGAACTTGTCTAGTCAATATAACATGAACAAACAACACACATACAAAACTTATCGCCAGGACAACTTCCTTTCTAAATATGAGTAAAATACATAGCTTCACAAGTGTCATACAGTACCAATTTTATACTGAACCTCATACCTAGTTAAGAGTAATTATTGACAGAGAATCATTTGATAATTTTATTACCATTAGGAATTAAATCCACACCTATAATATTAACATAATTAAATATTATTAGTAATCAATAATACACACAGAATTGTTATTATCAGCTTGCTTACTACAACAAAATCAATATTAAAGTTTATAATAAATCAAGACAAAATATCTATTTAAACAATACAGGCTTGTTTACCATAAACACCCCACAGTCACATGAATTATCTAGTAACACAATTAATAATGTATTAAAAGTATTACATTCACATAATATCACTTGCAACAGTTAAGCTGTCTCTTTGTACATCTGGTGTAAAACAAATCCCCACATGTAGTCATGGATAATCAAATATAGACTAAGAATCATTAATCTGGTCGACCGAGTAATGGTATAAAAACACTTCACCATGAAGCGTTAAGTATGAACAGATATTCCAAACCAACACTGTAATAGTGTAATAAATACAAATATTTCATCATCATCATCGTCTCAACCATCACCAACCCACGACTGAACACAGGCAATTTCCACCGACTGACACAAGGAATGGCCCCACAATACACATAAAACAGTCACTCCAAACAATGGGGGTAGCCCACACCGCACTTGCATTCACAGGGTCGCCACTCAATAACCCCTCTCTCTCATCAATGGCTGTTTCCCCAGCAATGAGACCAGACCATAGTCACTTTAGTCTATTATCCTCAATAAATAAATACTTTATAATAACTAGATATGAAACTAGTTAGTATTGTAATAGTTCAATAATTGATTCAATAAGTATTTTCCAAAACTGGACAATTAGAACATTGAATCAAATTGATGAAGTTCTATCAAACGACCATATAATTGGATTTTGTATATGAGTAAAATAACGTAAGTACGTAAATTATATTGATGTAAACTTTGTTCAAATGTGATTGCATTTAACGATATACGCATTACCTAAAGGTATATGGACTCGACTAAATACGTATTTTAATAGTTGTTGGGAAAAATATTAAGTATAGACTTTGCCTGTGATCACAGTCAAAAATCTAACTACGTAGTAATAAATGGAACAAGCTCACCGGATTCTCCAGTCTTCTATTGATTAATTTCACACACTTAATCCATAGTGATACACTAAGATCTCAAACCCCTTCATCGAACCAGTCCCTCCTAGATCTATATCCCAGTTATTTTTTTTTATTTTATTGCGCAATCCCTAAAACAAGACTCCCGCGCCATTTGCCGTCCTCTTTTTTTTTTTTTTTTTTTTTTTTTTTTTTTTATTCCGCAATTCCTAAAAAGCGACTCCCGCGCGCCCGCCGATCTGCCGTCTCTCTTCCTCTTTTTTCTTTTTTTTTCTATTCTTTCTCTAATAACGTCATAGATTATGTCACCGAAGGGTAGATATTTCAATAATCAGATTTAGCCTATTATTCGAACTGAACTTTTCTTTAAATTCAATTTAATTATATGTTAACGTATTTTGGTCTTTTATATTAAATTGATTATCGAATTTATAAAACTTTAAAGGCTCTCATAAACCTTATTAAACTGTGTTGTATGCATCCTTTTTTACATCTGATGATAAAAGGTAAACTATAATTTAGTTATATATAAAATATAATATATTTTTGTTTAATTTATTAAATTTTCTTGTGACATCCACTACACTTTGGAAACACATCAAAGGAGTTTCCTTTCTGTGTCAATATTTCATATATGGTAACGTCTTCTCTGTACGCTATTGTGAACCTTGACTTTAAAGTTTGTTTATATTAAATAGCTCAGTTTTCGTAGCGGTCACCCATAGGAACCCCTGTTTCTTTTATGTACTTATGGTATTAAACCTATTGTACTATAGGCGAACCGTCACAAACACCAGGATGTAACACGCGCGTTGCCGAATTTTGTTGCCGAAATTATCGCCTGCTAGTTCTTATTAACGCGTGGATTAGCAAAACCAATGCAATAAATAATATAATCTAAATATAATATAATCTTTTATAGGTGATTATTAATATAAAATAATAATAATATAAAATTATCAATAACTAATCGTAAATAACTTGAAATGTATTCTTATTAAGATCTAGTCTTATTAAGATTCCTTATATATTTTTTTCATATGTAGAGGTCGTCTAGTTATAATATTATTATTTACATTAATATATATATATAATAATGTATATGCGTGTTACATTAGATCTAGGATATAATCTATATAAATATTAGACTTTCGCTTTGCATGATTTATGAATTATAAGAGGACCTAACCTGGCCGAAACGTCAAGATAACCCTAGGTAAATTATTATGGTTTATCTAAAGGATTTAATTAATTCACTTCTCTTATAAACCATAATAGTAACCTCGAGGGGAAGGGATTGTTAGTAATGCGGACTACCAGTTCCATTGCTAGCAATATACACTGTCAGATCGATCTCTACGCGGGTCTCCCCTGGAAACCATCGTGCTGAATTTCTGGCGTATTCTTCACGGTGGGCTACATGGCCTGCCTCTTCATCTCACCTATTATCCCTCATTGGTGCCCCGTCAGCGTATACCGTTAACGCAAGCGGGGTTACCGTTCCATTGTCATCCATTAAAAAAAATATATTTAACCAAATTTTATTGAAACCTGTTCAATCGTTTAAGCATAATCGAGTAGCATCTTAATATGCAAATCAATTTACAAACTTCCATATTTATAAATAAGACAGAGTGATTAATATTTTTCCTACTTTTAACGACTTTTTAGTAAGGTCCATAATATCACTTAATTTATTTTTAATTAATTACAAATTAATCCTTACAAAAAAATCTTTATTTACTTTTTTGAATAATTTTCATACAAATTACAACTATGCAAATATCCTACCAAATATAATACTATGAATGCAATTGATGCCTTATTTAAATAAATTAAATCAAATTATTTTTTAATTTTTCATACCTGTACGACAATTAATCCTTATAACACAATTAATTCAAACACAATTAATTCGAGACATGTATATCACCCGTTAGGGAAATAATATTAAACATTTGTAGAACATCATACATTGGACCATTCAGAAGAGTCCTTAAAAGTCAAATATTTTTCACACATATACACTATACTTTATATAATAATTAATATATTGAACATAGATATTTGGTTCTAAAAAACACAATATCATACAGTTTTGTCGTAGCCGCGTATTCGTAGCGCTACGACGGCGTAGCACCACGCGAGTGTATGCTACGGCGACCCAAAGAAAACTGTCTACGGCTCACTGGGATACCAACTAGGAATTAAATTACCCAATCGCCGAAATAAATTTAAATACTTTTGTTCTTTTTTGATAACCGTTAATTAATTGGAAGAGCACGATAAAATATTATAAATATTAAAAATTATTATAACGGAAGGAGTTTCGCTAAATAGTAATAAATCATAGTGTAAAATTTGTAATAGCATTGTAGGTTACAAGTAATTATTGAGGTATTGACTGTTGTTTAAATAATATTAATGTGTATCATTTAGTTTAATACAATATATTTTTATATGACTTAGCAAACATAGTTTTGCCATCACCAAGTGGGCAAAATTTTTCTTATTGTAATAATAACTATTCTTTCTCTCAAGTTGTAGCGAATAATACACGTTAACAAAATTTCATTAAAATTTGTTACGCGGTTTCAGAGATTAGCGTGAACGAACATCGTGACACGGAATTTTTATAGATTAAAATATATGTGAGTGTAATCGAAATATCATTTATCGATTAACCACGAAAACAAGCCACCTTGAGATAAGCCGTGTTGTTTCTTCTGATAAGAATTATATTAAATTATAATTAAATAAAATTATGAATAAGGTACGTGAGTGGTGACCCCGTACGAGTAAATGCAATGTAGGACGACCCTCCACTATAAGATGAGACGACCAATGGATGCAGTTGGTCCAGGACTGTTCCTTATGGTAATCTATACAGAAGGCGTATGTTCAGTAGTGGATGGATAATGGATTAATTGATGATGATAATAAGTATAAAATGATATAAACGTAATCAAATATATTGTAACTTGTCATTAATTGGTGAATAATAATGCTTAATTATTTTTTCCCAATATTTATTTGTTTGTCATTCAAGAGGTAGGTAACCTCCCTTTTAGGGTAAATTAATTAACTGGCAACATACGTGCTACGAATGCAGCAACAGATATCTGTTGCTCCCATTCAATATATAGGGCAATACTACCTATAACTTCTCCATTCGTCATGTACTATTACAGACAATGGTATTGTATAAAACGGGACTTTCAATTTATTTTTTAAGTCATTTACGTATACATGTTAATTTTCATTATATATATGTTCTTAATATTAAGTAGGTCAGCATTATCTTATCTACTAAACAATTTATTAATTTGTAATAGTAAGGATAATAAAAAAATTACTAAATAAAAAAATGCTTAAATCTAAGTTTACTTGAATAAAAATATTTTTTTCATAAGTTAATAAAAAAAATTTCATAAGCTAATAACTAATATTTATTTATATTCAAATAAGTTCAAATAATTTTTACCTAAAAATTTGTGTATATTTTTTTATCGTGAGTACAATTTTGCATTTTTAATATAAATAGCTATTTTTCTCGATATCCTAACGAATCAGAAAACGTAAATTAAATTACATTATCTTCTATTAATTACGAGATTCCAAAATGAAAGATATTCTACCTTTATCAGTTTTATTTATTTTTGTAATAGACTCGAAAAGGATTTATTCTCTCGTTAGTCTAATATCAATTCTATCACGATTGGAATAGCCATTTTGTGGACAAAAGTCTTAACAAATTTTAGATCCATATTGAAGTTTAATTCGCATAATATATATATTGAAAGGGAACGCCCTAGCGATAACATCGGCTTTTCATATATTCGGCCGATATATTCTGAGTCCTCAGAAAGGACAACGCATGAAAAATATCATAACCGTCGCAGTGTATTTTGTAATGTCTATGATTCTGTTCATATCTTTAGCTGACGGTTACCACTTTCCATCAGGTAGGCCGTCAACAAGTTTATCGTTTGACTAAGAAAAATTGTCCCGCTAGTATACTGGTATGTTAGTAATATTTTCATCTGTACTTTATCCTACTACATGTTAATTGATTTCTAATTGTATTTTTATGTATTAAATGCAATAAAGAGTTGAATAAATAAAGTACCATATTCTTATTACTATTTCTTGAGTGAACAGGCCCTTATTTATTTACAAAAAACGAAATGTTATAAAAAAGCGATTAATTATTTATATTCTACTATCATTTGTGACCAACGAATCTCCTTTTCAGTGTAATAAAACGTCGTAATATTAAATTCAATAGTTCATCATTAATTCAAACATTCAGCCTGTTTGCACGACGTTGTTTTAGTTCTACTGAAATATGTAAGCTGTGGTCCGGTACCGACGCACTTTTAGAGCTTAATACTATGTACATATCTATTAAGGTATTGAGGTATTACTTTGATAAGTGTTCAAATGGAACTTTCATTTGTTATAATAAATTTGAAGTTTTTTATACGATTTACGTTTCTACGATTCCGGTGTAGAATGGACCACCAATTCCTTTCACATTTGATGTTATAAGAGACGATTAAGGAAACTTAATGGTCGAAAGATAGACAGCAGCGTCCCTCTTAAAACATCACCAAATCCTAACTACGGTTGCCAACCCACCTGCCAATTGTAGCAACTACTGGAAAACCCCCACTTATGGATTAGGCTTGTATGCAGGCCTGTTTGTATGCAGGTATTTTAACGGCTGGTATGATGATATAGTTTATTTATTTATATATAGCGCCATTCAGTCCATAGGGTATTTGTGTTGGTACACCCGTATTTAAAGGGAATCGAACCCAGACTCATCGTGAAGCAATGCGTTAAGTTGATACACCATCAAGTATAGGAGCATTTAGAGCCTCCCCCCCCCCCCTTTAAATGCTTCGGTCAGGAGGGCCATGCCCACGCCAATATTTTCTAGCGCCCACTCAAGATGCAAGCAAAGCTTTGCAAAGACATGTCTGACAATACAATAGTAGTACAACTTTTTTGGGCAGGCTCTTTCCTCTGGAAAATAATTCTGTTAATATTATAACTGTGAAAATTTGTAACGATAAGTAGATATTTGTTACTCTTTTACGTTTTCAAAAACTGCTGAACGGATTTGAATTAAATTTGGTACACATGTATATCATATCCCAACTTAGCACATTATAGTTTATGTACTGATTTATGTGAACGCAGCTGCGGTTTACAGCTATTCTTAAATACATCATTGCCATCAAAATCGTCAGTAGATACAGGTATATCGAAACATTGCCGCGCATGTATACTATACATAGGAAATAACAAACACACGCCTTTCTCAAGACAAGATTAATGACGTGCTTTTAAAAGAGAGAGCTCTCACGTTTTATACCAAATAACATTCACTATATAGCCTGGGTTCCGGATCTGCGCGTAATTACCCCCACGGGCTGAAAGAGCAAATCTACTGAAATAATATGGTTTGTAATAAATAATAGACTTTATAATCATTACCATAATCATTATTAGCATCCATCCATCTTTTCTTTTCATTTAAGAGTTTCCTCTTGTCGGTGCAACCAATTCATGCATCTTCCTCCAGCCAGTTCTATCCCAGGTCATATCCTTGACTTCTGTGTACGACATGAAAAATAGTGTTTCTTTTATCTGCCCCATGTAGTTATTCCCCGGTCTTCCTCTTCCTCTTTTGCCCTCTATTTTTCCCCCTACTATGCTCTTAAAAAATCGTCATGTCGTATATTGTGGCCATCCATCCATATCAGCCTTTAATTATCCAGTGCTGAACACAGGTCTCCCTCTTGCAGGGTTTTGCCAATAGCTGTTACGCTAGGCAGGTGCATTTTTTTTATGGATGAAAGTGGTATGGTAGCTCCGCCTGCGCTAACGGGATACGCTGGCGGAGCACCAGTGAAGGGTGATAGATGAGAATGAAAACAGGTCAGTTAGCCTATTATGATGAATTCATCAGGAATTAATTATGATAGTTTCCAGGGAGAACTGCGAGTAGGTTGACCTGGTTATATATAGGTATATTGCTAGCAATGGGATTCTCAGTCTCCATTACTAACAATCCCTTTCCCCCCAAAGGCAAGTGGATTGGAAACCGCAATTAGGCTTTAATAATGTATTAAGAAGTACATTGCTTAGTCGCCTCTTACGACGCCCTCGGGAAAGGAAGGGGTGGCTTATTCTATGCCGGGACCACACTATTAGCTTGGTAACCCATTAACATTGTACAACTAGGTAGAAATCTGTTTTAAAAAAAATCTCATAATAACCTTTATATTAGTCTAATAGTAGGTACCATGTTGATCAGGTAGATTGGTATAGAATCATACTCTGTTATGTCGGCCCACCTGATGGAAAGTGGACGGTTACCACTTTCCATCAGGTGGGCCGTCAGCTTGTTTGCCATTCTAAATTACATAAAAAATACAAAATATATTTATTTGTATGTGGGTATAAATAATTAATCGAAATAGCAGGAAAATATAATAAAATTTGCGACTTATTAAAATCAAAGGAAGCCAATTTTTAAATAGACAGTTAAATAAAAAAAATCTGCCAATTGTACAATATGCGCTCTCGATTTAATTAAGTATACTTTCCCCTTCAAAATCAAAGCCATCTGATTTGAATTAATTAAATCTGAACATAATTAGAAACGTAATTATATCAACGTTATAATAGGAGGGATATTAGTCGATGTTTCGTTTTGCTTTATGGAAAATCATGGGACGGATTTGCCCTAATTTATTTTCAACGACCTGTTTCTGTTTGCGCTAAAAATAAATTATTAATTTTTATCTTTAAAAATTAAAAATATTCCGTAAAAAACGTTTGGGAAGTATATCTATCTACATATATACACATATATTATATAGTAAGATAACATTTATTTGCAAACTCACAAAAAATAATACTAGCTTTTACTCGCAACGTCGTCCGCGTGACCGGGTTATGTTTTACTGACCGGAATAGAAAGCAGCCTTTATCCTTCCCCATCCCATAGAATAAGTGTATATCAAATTTTATAAGTTAAAGCGCTATAAGGTAACAAAATAGCTCACTTTTACGTTTATAATATTAGTAAGGATTACCTCATAAATATAAAAAAAAAAATTATAAAAAAAACTACTTAAA